ATTCTCCCTTTCAGCTTCCATAGCTAAAAATGGAAGGCCATCATCTATTTCATGGTTACTTGGGCCTCCATTTTTTTTTTTTTTGAGAAAGATTTTTGCTATAGGGCATATGAGCTCACTGGGGAGACCCAGAGGGACAGAGAGACAGAAAATGAGAAATTACCCCCTGGGGGATGACCATGCTGCCATCTCTTCTCCTCCATTCTCCTAAAATCTTGGGCATACACACACATGTGTCCAGCATGAGTTTTAAACTACTGGGTCTGAGACTTGAACTGCAGCCAACTGTGTGGGAGCCCAGTGAAGTAACCATTTCACCATCTGCTGGCCCTGGGCCTCCATTTTTACTAAAATATTTAATAGACTCTACTGTGTCAGCGTATATACTCTTTTCCAATGTTGAGGCCTAGCATTTGCTATCATTGGGCCTGTGTGATCATTTAGCAAGGCTTTATCACTTTTCCAAATCGTTTGCCATTTTCTCCCTCCTCTTGGAAGATTAATTTTAGTCAGTAAATTCTTTTCTTCAGGAAATTGCTCTTCATTAAAAGTAAATTAAGCTTGTCCTAGGTCAGCTCCCATTTCACATAGATATCTCTTTTTTGTTTCACTGGCCAGTGTTTAATAGATACATTGTTGCCATTGAGTATTAACTGCTTGAATATAGTTAGGATACATGTAATATACTCCAAAATGTCTGTTACCCAGGTAGTGCCAAAGGGCATGGACCCTTACAGAAAGACAAAGCACTCCCCTCCAGTGGGGTGTGGTCATGCTGTAATACTTTTCCCTCCATTTCTCTATCCTGTCAGGAATTTGGACTTGTGCACACATGCACCTGGTATGTGTTTCAAGCTGCTGGGGCCAGTTTCAAACTGCAGGTCGGCCCTGTGAGATCAGGTTCCCTATGCACAGTACTTAACCACTGTGCCAAAAGGCTAGCCCCTCCCATAATCTTTCTGGTCTCAGGTTAGAATTGTTTCCAGTGGGGACACAAATCCAACTTGTAATGCCTAATATGTTATTTTCATTCATAGCCCATTGATACTTTTCATTCTGTTTAAAACTTTCCATTCACAAAAAGAGGGATGATGTGTATTTTTATTTATTTATTTTTTGGTAGAGGTTTATTCTTTAGGGCATGTGTGCTAGTGGGGGAGGGGGAAGACGGTGAGAGGGAAAGTGAGAAATCATCCCCCTGGGAGGATGATCACGCTGCAATCCCTTCTCCTCCATTCTCCTCCCAGGATCTTAGGCACACACGCACATGCACTGGGCATGAGTTTCAAGTCACTGGGTCTGGGACTCAAACTGTGGTCGGTCACATGGGAATCCTGTGATGCAACTGCTATGCTGACTGCTGGCCCCATGGTGTATATTCTTACTATGGCATGTCAAACCATTATTATATCTGGGGGGCTCAAAATTTACTGTTACACAGTTATTAGTTTCCTTGACATATGCTATACATCATAATCTTCAGAAGGAAGGAAGTCCTGAATATATCAATTTTTCCTATTATTCTAATGAAAGTAGGTTTCCATAACTTGGCTTCATCATCATTTATACCAATAAAATGGGGATAATGCAGTTAAATGTTTACTGATAGTGATAACCATCATATGCGCAAATCTCTACATTTTAAAAATAAACAGGAAGTCATGGAAATTAAACAATATGAAATGATATTCTAGCACTCACAAATATGTATAAGCAAAAGAGATTATCAGTCATATATTTAATCATTTAGTCCCCAAAGATGAATAGATATAGTCCACAGTTAAGTAGCAACAAAATACCTTTCATATGCCTTCTCTAATACATGACAAGTTTTAATGCTATTCTTGACTATTTCCACAAAGCTTAATTTTCATAAAACACATTAAAAACTTTAACAGTTTTTAAAAATGATGAGACCAGAGACTTGTGCAATACCAGGCAAAGTTCTTTAAAAACCATATTACTTGCTAGTAGGGTTTAAAGTTATGTTCATAGATTTATTATAGCACTGAGAATACAGAAACATATACCCCACCATGAACATATATAAACTACTCTTGCCATTGTAACTATAACCTTTGAATAGTTAGTCATACTGGATACCAATTTCTTTCCAACCTCAGAGATAAAAAGAGCACAATATACAAATGTCAAATATTAACAGTGTGAAACTACTGAGTGGCCTGGCACAGGAATTTTAAACATCCTTTTGACCATAGCTAGTAACAGGCTGAACCTGACTCCACTGCGATAAGGTACTTCTCTGAGGAGAAGCTCAGAAGTCAATTAACTTTAAACATTGAGATAATCATCATTCATTACCATATGCTGGTATCTAATCTTTATGAAGTTTTCATAATAAAAATTCAATTCTCCTCTATTTCTAAATTCAATTAACTGTCCTGTTATACAAAAATCCTCACCATTCCTCCAAACCCCAAATAAATTGGGTTCCTTTTTGCTTATTGGAGAAAGAAGACGTAAAGCAGCGGCAATTCACAGCCTTTGGAGGAACTTCTTAACTCATACATAAATGTATTTTGTTGCCTCTACTGTAACATAATCTGAAAGTATTAAATTCCTACTAAGCATTCTGGAGAAATGGCAAACTATTCTGCTGTTGTGTTGAGACTATCTGAAGGGGGGAAGAGGTAAGAAATTATGGTGACTTGGACCAGGATGGAAGGAATGGAGGTGGTGGGAAAAAAGAGAGATTTTGTATATATAATGAAGGTAGAACCAACAGGATTTGCTGATGGGGTTCATATGGGAAGTGGGAAAAAAGAGGAATAAATAGTAAATTCCAGGTCCAGCTGTGGTGGTGCACGTGTAAGGATAGCACTGTGCAAATACTGGTGCCATATGGGAAAACCCTGGGTTCAGATCCCTGATAGACCTGAACACATGCTCATGATCCTGACTGGAAGGCTAGGTTGGGATGACAGTCATGGCATGCTGAGATCCTGTCAAGGGTACCCTCTTAGGCTTCATGGAAGAAAGAAAGGAACTTGAAAAATAAAAAGAATAACTCCATGATTCCTAACCTGGGATCAAAAGAACTTCCTTTGAAAATGGAAACACTAATTTTATATTTGTGTGTTGATGGGAAAGAGCCAAAGGAGAAGGAGACATTGTTAAAGAAGAAGAGTCAGAGAGGACAATTGCTGAGGTGATATCCTTGAGTATACAAAAGAAAAATAATTCGGCGAATGAGGAAAAGTATTAACATTTACTATGGAGTTTCTCCATAGCAACAAGTAGAGGAATCAGATATATTATAGATTGAGATGCAGGCAGATGAGTAGATGTGAAAGTGCTCTTTGACTGCTTCTGTTTTTTCGGTGGAGGCCCAGTGGCAGTGGCACAGGCAGTAGCATACTGAATTGCAGTACTGGAAGGCACATGGCTGAATGTGGGTTTAGATCCCACCTTAACCTGAAATACACTGGTGCATGCGTGCCCAAGATCCTGACTAGCTAGAAGGCTGGAGAAAGGGGATTGTAGTGTAGCAAGACCCTGTTGAGAGCGCCTGTTTCCCTACCTCCTCTTCCAGATTACACACTCTCTCATGAAAGAAATAATGTTTAAAGAAAATTTCTCAGTGGAATAAGATACAGTTGAGAGTAAAGTTGGATGGAGTGTTGGAAGTTTAAGGAGAAATATGTATGATTAATCATCTAGTACAGTAGGAGAATAAAGGCTAAGGAAACATGGCATGACTTCTGGGAAGCAGTAGGGGCCCACTTTGAGGCTATGGTCATAAATTTAAAGTAAATATAGCTGTAAATGTTTTCTTGCTACTACAGTAGGTGTGATGTAGGATATAACAAGGGTTGAAATGTCCCAGCAAGTACAACAAAGAAAGAGATGGGCCAAGGGAAATAAAGATGAATGCAGGGAAGAGCACATGGAATTTAAGCTGGGCAAGGAGAGAAGTGAGGGTGTCAGGGGTGGGGTAGTGTGTGTGGGGGGGTGAGAGACACTTTAAAGGTGGCAGGATCAATGCCACACAATCATAGGTACTTCCACGTACATTAATGCTTTTGCTGTACTATTTCTGTACTTGGTATCTTTTAAAAAAATCATTCTTATTCTTTCATGTATCAGATCAAGCTTTACTGTTTTTTTTGTTTGTTTGTTTATTTCTTTTTTTCCTTCCATGAGAGGCTGAGACAGGCATGCCCAACAGGGTCTTCATACCACAACCCACCCCATGTCTCCCTACCACAGCCTACTTACCCCCCCACCCCACCCGACCCCCGTCTCAGCCAGCCTGTACGATGGGCATATGTGTGCCAGGGAGATCCCGGGATATGACCTCAGGACCTTGCCCATGTGGGTCTGGTTGCATTACTACTGTGGCACTTCTGAGCCCTACTTTGTACCTTTTTTTAATAAATCAGTGTTACAAAATAATAGAAATTATGAATATGTGTCTCTGGAGCCTAGCACTATACCATCATGACCAGTTGGCTATTTTTAAACCTGACTTTTTGTAATATTCAGTCCAGTCTCTGTTCTCACCTGTGTCTCCATATGAAAATACACACATACAGGTAAAATAACAGTGGTTACCTTTGGACAGTGACTAGTTATTCTGTTATATTAGGTTTTAAGTAAAAGCCTTTTCCGCTGTACTTTCCTATTTCTCAATTTTCAATATAGAGTATGAAATGCTTTTCTAATTTAGAGATTATGTTTATTTAAAAGAACATATGTGTTTACACCCATATATAATTAAATGCTGGCTGTGCTCCCTAATGAAGTGTTAGAAGACTTAATCAGGCAAGATTAAGTTCCTTGACAAATTATAGAAAATAAAAGACTTGAGAAGATGGAAGCTGACATTGTTTTAAAAACTATGAAATGTTTTTTTAAAGAAAACTGCCAGATTTCATAAAACATGCATAGAACATTGTCCAACAAGTATATTAAAATGTATAATACTAAAACAATGAAAACGGTACAACTATTTTAAAATTAGAAGGACAATTACAAACCTGCTTGCTGCTTTGAGCTCTTGCATTCCGTAATCTTCGGGCAGAATAAAAGATAAAATAGCCCACAGTTGCTGCCGTGATAATAAAAAAGGACACAGAGACGAAGAAAATTGAATAGTGATTCACCCAAGGGCCATGTTTTTTTCCTACTTCAATGACCATTGTTACTTGTATGCCTCTTTGAATAGATTGTAGAATTTTTGTGCCTTTCAGATTGCCAATCATGATTGCGACAATGTTTCCTGCACCTGTAAAAATAAAAGAATGAATTCAGTTTTAGTTTGGTAAAGCATTTTTAGTTTAAAACTCATTTTGCTAAAATTTTAAATGAGTCTCAATAAGACAAGGGAATAGTTATTCATTCAATTAACATTTACTGAGTACCTTCTGTATATATAAAAGTTGTAGAGAATATAAACATGCATGAGACTTTGTTACTGACCTAAAGGAACTCATAGCTTAATATATACAACAAACACTCCCCTCTCAACCCCTGTCACGTTAACTACCTATAATTCAACAGTTCAACAGTAGTGCTTTGAGACCTAACTTGCATCTTATATGAAGTCTTGCTTAAAGACAAATGGCACCTTAGAAGGTAGGTTATAGGGCTTACATCCTAGGGAATCTGAGATTTGGAAAACATAGAAATATTTAACTATAGGGACCAGCAGTTAGCGTAATGGCTATGTCGCTGGACTCCCATGTGGTCGACCACGGTTCAAGTCCCAGACCCAGTGGCTTAAAACTCATGCCGGGTGTGTGTGTGTGTGTGTGTGTGTGTGTGTGTGTGTGTATGTCCAAGATCCTGGGAGGAGAATGGAGGAGAAGGGGTTGTGGTGTGGCCATTCCCCCCTGCAGGGTGATTTCTCGCTTTCTGTCTCTCTGTCTTGCTCTGTCTTTCTGGCGAGCACACATGCCCTATAACATAAACCTCTTCAAAAAAAAAAAAAAAAGAAAGAAATATTTAACTATACATTTCTATACATTCCCCAGTTTATAAGGTGCTAGGCTATAGCATGAGCTTACTACAAACATATATTTTTACATATCAGGATAGTAATTTGAGACAATCTTTACAAGCCTAAATGTACAACCTACACATATGTCTATGATGTGGTATTTTTCTATATCCTCAAAAGCAATAAAAAATTTGTCCAAGTACTCTAAAGTTTTACATGGACCTGATCAGGTTAGCAATAAAGGTAACACACAGAACTGATAAAAATGTACATTTATATTCAGCACCAATTAATGACAGTCCTGAAATTAGACTAGGTTTATTACTAAAGTCCTAATGTCTATACTACTTCCTTCTATACCCCCCCCAACATAAGTAAGTCTTGTGGGGGAAAAAATAAAGGATAAATATTATCTTTTCCAATGTTGTGAGAATGTCAGATTGCTCATGCCATTCCAATGCTTATCAAGGTTTATTTATATTTCTTCTAGTTTATATGACCTGAGACCAATAATCTTAAGTAAAACAGTAGAGTTCTTTGAGTGTTAAGGTACTGCCAACCAGAGAAACCTCCCACTGATAATAGGTTAAGGTACTAATCTAGGTTAATGATCAAACTACAGTCTGGGATAAACATAACCACTCCCGCACATGACTCTAAAAAGACCTTCAGACTAGAATAAAATACAAAAGGATGATATTAAAATATTATTAGCACTTTCAATGTTAACATTAATAATACAAACCTTAAATAGCAGTGTACATAGAATTACAACCCAAGTAATCCCCAGTAGCCAAAATCTTCAAAAGATCATGGCAAATAGACATATCCCACAATATGTTAGCTATGATCCTTTCCATACTTGAAATGATTAATTCAAAAAATATATTCAAATGCTATTATTACAGATCTTTAGCATTCCAGAAGATACTATTTTTACATGATAGCCAGTTAGTTAAGCCTTTTTACAACTTTTTTGACTCACGTACACTCACTCAGTTTGACAGAGGTTAATGGACTCAGTCTGTTCTCATTTACATGGTGAAAATTCTGAAAGCAATGGGATGCAAAGGAGTCTGAAATAGAGATAGCATCTCCTGTATCTTATTCCAGTATCAGTATATGACCCAGATATCTCTTAAGGGTTTAGAGAACTAGTAATTTTGCAAGAGAGTAGCTCTTTGTACTATTTATTTGGGGTTTTAAAATTGAAACTATGGCATTAAAAACATGTGCTTTGTTTTTTCTCTACAAGTTATTTCTCAGGAACATGTCTGGGTATGAAGTTTTGATTAATTGTATAACCTAGTGCCATGGTTTAAATGTGTCCACTCAAAATTCATGTGTTGAGACTTGGTTCCTATTATGATGAGATTAAGAGGGTAAAAACAATCCACTTATGGTATGGAAAGGTGGGTCTTTGGGAAGTGATCATCTGATCAGTGATCAGATAGTTAGGGATTAAGATCATCAGAGTAGTGCCCCATGACTGGACACTCAGGAATTTATAAACAGAGGGAATAATACAGAAATATATGGCACTGACAGAGCCATACTCTGTTCAGTCTCTTGCCATGTGATGCTCTGTGCCATCCTGAGATCCCACCAACAAGAAGAACCTTACTGGATGTGGCCCCTGGCCCCATGACCTTCAACCTCTAAAATCATGAGCCTCTATTCTTCATGAATCATTGAGACTCAGGTGTTTGTTCTTAACAACACAATAGATAAAACTACCCAGTATTCATTTCTGATAACCTGTATAATGTTAGAAAACATAGATTATTCCAAAAAATCAGGCTTTGGAGTATATTATAATTTTGAAGATTTATTTTTAAATCACAGACATGGCCTTTTATTAGATTTTTTTGACTAACAGAATTAATTTTTTATTCTTTAGGAAGGTAGGAAGTGGGTGGCAGGGATGAATACTCAGGAACATACAGGCCACTGTGGTCAGGAGATTAAAAACCAAGGATAGTCAAGAAATGTACATTGTCTATATATCAGGAACAATGCTGTGTTTCAGTACTCATGATCCATATTCATACATGCTATATATAGTCCAATTATTTTTAAAAATCTGCTGAATTTGCTTTCTAACCATATAAAAGACCTATTCCTGCATTATAATATATTTCTTCCTCCCCACTCCCTTGTTACTATCTAAAAACTGCTCCTGTTCACTGTCCCCGATCATAGTAAATGGTAGCATAACCCTTTTGTTCACCTCAGAATCACCTTTAGTAACTTGAGAATGATGTCTGAATCCTGACTGATCAGCTACTCAGTCATATGTTTTAGATGCTACTTACTTGCTTGGTGTCTCCTGTTACAGATTCTTCTTTATATTCCAGTTGGCTTAGAACTGGAACAGGGCCTGTTCAGTACCATCCTGACTTGTTACCCTATATCCAGGATTTTCCCTCCCCTTTAAAATTTCATCACAGAGGGAAGCCATGCTCTAACTCATCTCCTAGACTCCCAAAATATTCAGACAAGGTAGGGTGACCTCTATCTTCTCTCTGTCGCTGGTTGTCTGTCTTTCTGTGTATCTCACGCGCTCTCTTTAAGTTAAAAAATTTTTTTTTACTTGAATTTTTCAAGCTCCTCTCCTCAGCTAGGGCCTTTTCTTTCACTTGTCAATTTCAGAAGCCATTTTAAAGCTGAGGTGTGTCCTGAAGTGCACCACACAGTTTTCATTTTTCACTCTTTTTTAGAAATATTTTTCCAGTTTTTCCCTTATATTTTTTAACTTTACTTTCTTACTCTAATCTTCACTCTCCACACATTTAATGTCTAGATAGGACTAGGTACACTGTAGCCAAGTATCTGAATACTTTGAGTCATTGAATTCCTCAACACTTAATTGAACCTCTCATTTTAACAAAGACATTTCTTTTTATAAATCTGAATTTCTGATCTTACTGTTGATGACACATTGCTAAGCACTTTGGAGGAGAGATTTTGTCACAGAATGACCAGGAACAATCACAGAGACACAAGAAACATAAGAAACCAAAACATGAGAAATCAATAAAACATTTCTCCCTTTAGGGAAAAGAACAATACCTCATCATCTACAGACAGTACAATAGAATTCTTGGAAATGTCTGATAAAGACTTCTGCATACTCATAGTGAGAAAACTAAACGAGATGCAAGAGCTGATGCAGAAGATGCAGGAGAAGAGACAACGAGTTCCAGGAGGTGTTGAAGTTCTTTCATGATCTTAAAGTGGAAATACACACCATAAAAAATAAACAAATGGAGCTATTAGAGATGAAGGCTGCCATTCAGGAAATCAAAACCTCTCTTGAAAGTATTAAAAACAGATTAGTCCATACAGAAAATCAAATCTCGAATGTTGAAGGCAAAACCTCTGATCTAGAAAAACAACCAAAAAAACTGAGAAAATACCCCTCCCCCCAAATCAGAATACTATACAAGAAATACTGGACAGCATTTAGCACCCAAATATCTCGATAATCAGTATCCCAGAAGGTGAGGAACCTAATAAGGGCATTGATAATCAATTCCATGAAATCTTGGAAGAAAACTTTCCAAATCTGAAGAGGCATTCAAATATCCAGACCTAAGAAATACAAAGGACCCTAATAAAATTAACCCAAGAAGATCTCCTCCAAGGCACATCATAGCCAGACTGGTCAAATCTACAAAGACAATCTACTAAAACTGGCAAGAGAGAAACATCAGGTTACCTATAAAGGATATCACATCAGGCTAACCTCAGACCTCTCATCAGCAACAATGCGAGGGGACCAGCAGTTAGCGTAATGGCTATGTTGCTGGACTCCCATGTAGTTGACTGTAGTTCGAGTCCCGGACCCGGTGGCTTAAACTCACGCAAGGCGCAGATGCGTGCGTGCCCAAGATCCCTTGAGGAGAAGGGATTGTGGCATGGCCTTCCCCTCTGCGGGGTGATTTCTCGCTGTCTCTTTGTCTCTCTGTCCTTCCAGCGAGCACACGCCTTATAGCAAAAACCTCTCAAAAAAAAAAAAAAAAAAAAAGAAAGA